TAAACCATTTATACTAATACATAGAAAGAGACTTTGTTTAACAAGTAATACAAAAAAATCTAAAAAGAAAGGGGTCAAAATTATTGGATTCCCTGTTTTCAATACTCCAGCAACCTCCCCTTACGAGGATAGAGTCACTGAGTCTTTTTCTAAAATGTTTTATAAATTGAACACATTGGGAGGGATCTTAGACCATTCCTCCATACAGAATCCTTCCAGACCAGATCCTTGATAGCCTTCATCTGCGCTTATGGACTGCCCTTTTCAATGGGGTTCAAGACCGGAGACTGAGATGGCCATTGCAAAATGTTTATTCTGTGGTCAATTAACCATTTCTTTGTGAATTGCTATGTGTGCTTGGGGTGATTGTGTTGTGAAAGATTCACTTGTGGCCGAGTTTCAGCCTCCTGGCAGAGGCAACCATGTTTTTTTGGCATAAATGTCCTGGTACTTGGTAAAGTTCATGATGCCGTTGACCTTAACAAGAGCCCCAGGACCAGTGGAAGCAAAATAGCCCCATAACATCAAAGATCCATAACATCAAAGGGATTAGGTATTTTCTGCATATGCATTGTTCTTTCGAAGGCCACTTGGATTGGAACCGGTGCTATGGTCATATGACATGAAAATAGAGGTCTTTGGCCACACACACTACTGGTGAATAACGGAAGCCCCTCTCTCAAACGAAAGGACAGGATGTGGAGCAAGTCACATATTTTAAATTCCTGGGGACAATTTTAAACCACAAACCTAACATCCAGGAAAACACTGACCTCATCTTCAAGAAGGCAAGGCAGTGTCTCTTCCTACTTAGGAAGCTTAGGAGTTTTAATGCAAGCTAACACACACTAACAATGGGGTACAGATCCCTGATCCCTAATCTGTTCTCACTTTCAACATATCCACCTGCTATGGGAACCTTTCGGTCAGGAACAGGAGTAAACTGGCACAAGTTGTCATCAGGCCAGCAAAATAGTTGTCAGCCAACCGCCACAACTCCAAGAACTGTACACACAGAACATGACAAAGAAAGCACTCCAGGTCTTCAATGACAACACGCACCCACTGCATGCATCCTTCTAAATGCTGCCATCCAGTCGGAGACTTAAGGTGCCACTCGCATGGAAGAATGGACTAAAGAAATCTGTCATCCCCTCCGCAGTGGCAATCCTAAATAAGACTCTGACGAACTGACATGTAAATGCTCAATGTGTGTGGTGTATGTTTTTTTGACTGTTTTATCCTTTTAATGTAAGCCAGAGCGCCAAAGACTATTTTCCATTCTGTGTTAACTAAATGGACAATAACGTTTTCTAATCTAATCTAGTTAGCTACCTTGCTTTGAAGTAGCCTACATTTGATTTACATTTTAGATTCTTTAAATGAGGGAATTATTTTATAAATATATGCAAGTATTTGGTTGTAATGTTGCAATATTTTATATCAAGGGTGGCCAACCATCCTCCTGGAGAGCTACTGGGTGTGCAGGCTTTTGTTCCAGGGCCGCTCAAACACACCACATTGTAAACATCAGCTGCTCAACAGGACCGAGCTGACTCGGGTGTGTTTGACCAGGGCTCGATCAAAAGCATGCTCATCCAGTAGTTCTCCAGATGGAGGGTTGACCACATGTGTTTTATACACTAGCCTAACTTTGGGGGGGGTTAAGTGCCTTGATCAAGGGCACGACGGCAGGAGATGGTACATGGGGTCAAAGACCAGCAGCCTTTCAGTGTCAATACCACATTTATGCTTACTTTTTCATGTATACATAGAGACACCGTCAATTATTGGTCATGGACATTTTGTGCCAAGTCATGGAAAAGTCATGAAATTCCACCTGTCAAAATATGTATGAACCCTTAACAGTGAATAATCAGAGGTCTCTATAGCATAACATCATTGCATTTTGGTGAACACAGTCTAATGGACCAACTTGGAAAAGACAGCTCCTGCACCTCTTTCATCCCAAGTCAAGCACTTAGAAAAAGTAGAAAACCTACCATATGGTAATAGTGTTTCGGTTAATTTACTCAAGAACAACTTATTCTACATTTTATTCATTTACATGACTGGTTGATTTTTGTTGTTGTTTGTGCCGAAACCTGGGCACAAACATTGATTTAAATTTTAATCTAGAGTTCAATATGTTGGAATTCACTGTACATACTCATCTTTTTAATCTGGAATCTTTTTATTTAGAGAGTGAAATCAAATATTTTAGTTTTGTCTCTATTCCGAATTGGGTCGTGCAAGTTTAAATGTTTCAATGTTATTAAAAGAGAGTATTATCCCACCTTCTGTATATGTACTGAACTGTATTGTACGCTATTTTCATACTTTTCCAGCAGGACTCGGGAGCAGGGTTTTCCCATTTCCATACAGTATAATCAGGTTTTCCTTGTCTGTCAAACTACCAGTTTTTCCCCTGCCGTATGTATAATCACTCTGTTTATGTTTCCATGTTTCCCCTGCAGGTCAGCATCTCATAAAGGGCCGTATAGTCCCGTGTAGCTCAGTTGGTAGAGCATGGCGCTTGCAACGCCAGGGTTGTGGGTTCGATTCCCACAGGGGACCAGTATGAAAAAATGTATGCACTCACTAACTGTAAGTCGCTCTGGATAAGAGCGTCTGCTAAATGACTAAAATGTAAAATGTATAGTGGGAGGCTACGCTCCGACCCCCAACTCCATCAAATACATTGTTACTCTACAGACCACCAAGGGATAGCACTTCTGTGGCGGATCTCTAGTACACAAGTACTGGGTGTTCACAGCCACACACTGTAACACAGGGTAAGTCCAGTCGATACTGATGAGACATTGGTGATACAACATGATCATGTTAGCAGCAAAAAAGTAATACATAGTTTAGGTCTGGGCTTCTTTATACAGAGTAATTTGTCTCTTCATAAAGTTATTTAGCATGACTTAACATTGTATATCAATATGCATACAAGCAGATGTCCAAACAGATGTCTTCAAAGCTAGGTGTCTCCAAATCATGATGAGCGTTATGTAACTTGAATGGATGTTGCAGAGTTATGGGCTGTGAGCAAGCATTAGTGTGTGTTACACGGCTAGCTGTCAACATGTCAGACATCAGTGTAGAAAGGATAACAGTTATACTGTCTCTGTTTCACACAAAGAAGCATTGTATCCACTTCTACACATACAGTGGGGGAAAAAAGTATTTAGTCAGCCACCAATTGTGCAAGTTCTCCCACTTAAAAAGATGAGAGAGGCCTGTAATTTTCATCATATGTACACGTCAACTATGACAGACAAATTGAGGAAAAAAAATCCAGAAAATCACATTGTAGGATTTTTAATGAATTTATTTGCAAATTATGGTGGAAAATAAGTATTTGGTCACCTACAAACAAGCAAGATTTCTGGCTCTCACAGACCTGTAACTTCTTCTTTAAGAGGCTCCTCTGTCCTCCACTCGTTACCTGTATTAATGGCACCTGTTTGAACTCGTTATCAGTATAAAAGACAGCTGTCCACAACCTCAAACAGTCACACTCCAAACTCCACTATGGCCAAGACCAAAGAGCTGTCAAAGGTAACCAGAAACAAAATTGTAGACCTGCACCAGGCTGGGAAGACTGAATCTGCAATAGGTAAGCAGCTTGGTTTGAAGAAATCAACTGTGGGAGCAATTATTAGGAAATGGAAGACATACAAGACCACTGATAATCTCCCTCGATCTGGGGCTCCACGCAAGATCTCACCCCGTGGGGTCAAAATGATCACAAGAACGGTGAGCAAAAATCCCAGAACCACACGGGGGGACCTAGTGAATGACCTGCAGTGAGCTGGGACCAAAGTAACAAAGCCTACCATCAGTAACACACTACGCCGCCAGGGACTCAAATCCTGCAGTGCCAGACGTGTCCCCCTGCTTAAGCCAGTACATGTCCAGGCCCGTCTGAAGTTTGCTAGAGTGCATTTGGATGATCCAGAAGAGGATTGGGAGAATGTCATATGGTCAGATGAAACCAAAATATAACTTTTTGGTAAAAACTCAACTCGTCGTGTTTGGAGGACAAAGAATGCTGAGTTGCATCCAAAGAACACCATACCTACTGTGAAGCATGGGGGTGGAAACATCATGCTTTGGGGCTGTTTTTCTGCAAAGGGACCAGGACGATTGATCCGTGTAAAGGAAAGAATGAATGGGGCCATGTATCGTGAGATTTTGAGTGAAAACCTCCTTCCATCAGCAAGGGCATTGAAGATGAAACGTGGCTGGGTCTTTCAGCATGACAATGATCCCAAACACACCACCCGGGCAATGAAGGAGTGGCTTCGTAAGAAGCATTTCAAGGCCCTGGAGTGGCCTAGCCAGTCTCCAGATCTCAACCCCATAGAAAATCTTTGGAGGGAGTTGAAAGTCAGTGTTGCCCAGCGACAGCCCCAAAACATCACTGCTCTAGAGGAGATCTGCATGGAGGAATGGGCCAAAATACCAGCAACAGTGTGTGAAAACCTTGTGAAGACTTACAGAAAACGTTTGACCTGTGTCATTGCCAACAAAGGGTCTATAACAAAGTATTGAGAAACTTTTGTTATTGACCAAATACTTATTTTCCACCATAATTTGCAAATAAATTCATTAAAAATCCTACAATGTGATTTTCTGGAATTTTTTTCTCATTTTGTCTGTCATAGTTGACGTGTACCTATGATGAAAATTACAGGCCTCTCTCATCTTTTTAAGTGGGAGAACATGCACAATTGGTGGCTGACTAAATACTTTTTTTCCCCACTGTACCTCAGTGCAGCAAAGCAAACGTTGGCGAAATTGAATGCACCTCAGGATTACGTTTCATCCTATTTTTCCTTGGATAGAGCAGATGGGGATATTTTATTAATCAAAGCTCTAATTCCTCTCCCCCTCTTAGGACAGAGCAGATGATGATACATTTTTTTCTAAACAACGTTATCAACCCTTTGTGCAGTTGAACATATCTCTGTTGTCTCTCTCCTGTCAGGACAGGGCAGATGATGATCGTGGCAGGGGACTACTCGCTGAGTACGTTTGAGGGAACAGAGCAGTACTCCAAACCTCACAGACTCATCCCCCATTCACTGTACAAGAAGACCACCAACAACACATGCTTATTAAGGTAAAGGATACAGCCTTTACCTACCTTTCATATTCATGTTTATATACATAATTGGATACAGCAGTATTATGACATTGGGCCATGTGATAATAATAACTAGACCTTGTATCAGAGTAACTACCTTTGTAGTAAATGTGTAATTACCTTGTAATAACTTAGTAAGTACATGCATGTCAATTCAGTTAAATTCAAGTCAACTCAACAAAACTTAACTCAATTAATTCAACTCCACCCTCTATCCCACTCTATCTCGTTTCTTCTTCCCTGTGCAGCTGAGGGTTCCCATGGCAATGGGTAGCTACTTGTCCCTGACCCCTTTCCCTCGACAGGGTACGGGGTGATGGCAGGGCAGGTGTCGGGGTGGGGGTAACCCTCTCTCGGAGGTCACCCCTACTCTGCGTACGGTCAAACTGCCCATGGTGTCGTCGGCCAGGTGCAACAGCAGCAAGTCGCTCAACGGGAAAATCACCTCCAACATGATCTGTGCCGGCTACAATGCTGGGGGGAAGGACGCATGCAAGGTACAGTGGCTTGCAAAGGTATTCACCCCCCTTGGCATTTTTCCTATTTTGATTTTTGGGGGGGTTGTATCATTTGATTTACACAACATGCCTACCACTTTGAAGATGCAAAATATTTTTTCTTGTGAAACAAACAAGCAATAAGACATAAAAAGAGAACTTGAGCGTGCATAACTATACTTTGTAGAGCCACCTTTTGCAGCAATTACAGCTGCAAGTCTCTTGGGGTATGTCTCTATAAGCTTGGCACATCTAGCCACTGGGATTGTTGCCCATTATTCAAGGCAAAACTGCTCCAGCTCCTTCAAGTTGGATGGGTTCCGCTGGTGTACAGCAATCTTTAAGTCATACCACAGATTCTCAATTGGATTGAGATCTGGGCTTTGACTAGGCCATTCCAAGACATTTAAATGTTTCCCCTTAAACCACTCAAGTGTTGCTTTAGCAGTATGCTTAGCGTCATTGTCCTGCTGGAAGGTGAACCTCCGTCACAGTCTCAAATCTCTGGAAGACTGAAACAGGTTTCCCTCAAGAATTTATCAGTATTTAGCGCCATCCATCATTCCTTCAATTCTGACCAGTTTCCCAGTCCCTGCCGATGAAAAACATCATGGTGTTCTCGGGGTGATGAGAGGTGTTGGGTTTGCGCCAGACATAGTGTTTTCCTTGATGGCCAAAAAGCTCAGAGTACCTTCTTCCATATGTTTGGGGAGTCTCCCACATGACTTTTGGAGAACACCAAACGTGTTTGCTTATTTTCTTCTTTAAGCAATGGCTTTTTTCTGGCCACTCTTCCGTAAAGCCCAGCTCTGTGGAGTGTACGGCTTAAAGTGGTCCTATGGACAGATACTGTGGAGCTTTGCATCTCCTTCAGGGTTATCTTTGGTCTCTTTGTTGCCTCTCTGATTAATGCCCCCCTTGCCTGGTCCGTGAGTTTTGGTGGGCGGCCCTCTCTTGGCAGGTTTGTTGTGGTGCCATAACAGGTGTATATAAACTGAGATCATGTGACAGATCTTGTGACACTTAGATTGCACACGGGTGGACTTTATTGAACTAATTATGTGACGTCTGAAGGTAATTGGTTGCACCAGATCTTATTTAGGGGCTTCATAGAAAAGGGGTGAGTACATATGCACGCAGCACCTTTCCGTTATTTTTTTTATTTTTTGAAACAAGTAATTTTTTCCATTTCACTTCACCAATTTGGACTATTTTGTGTATGTCCATTCCATGGAATCCAAATAAAAATCCATTTAAATTACAGGTTGTAATGCAACAAAATAGGAAAAACGTCAAGGGAGATGAATAGTTTTGCAAGGCACTGTACTGGACCTGATAGAGCTGACACCATTTTTTATGAGAGAGAACTACAGTAAGTTATTGAACTGGTAGGGGTGCATGGAAGGGGCTAGTAGGGATCGAAATGGAACTTGGCCTATGTATTAGGGGCCTCTGCTGGTGCCTCATCCCTTTACCTTGTGGTTTTCAAACCTCTCCTCAGATGTTTCACAATTTTGTTGTAGCCCTGAACTACACTGAACAAAACTATAAACGCAACATGTAAAGTGTTGGTCCCATGTTTCATGAGCTGGAGAGAGGAGTGTTTCTGCTGTAATAAAGCCCTTTTGTGGGGGAAACTCATTCTGATTGTCTGGGCCTTGCTCCCCTGCCAAGTCATGTGAAATCCATAGTTTAGGGCCTAATGAATGTCATTAAATTGATTGATTTCCTTATATGAACTGTAACTCAGTAAACCTTTTACATTTTTGCATGTTGCGTTTATATTTTTGTTCAGTATATCTCACCTAGTCAAGGGCTTGATAAATAGTTGATAAGTTGAATCAGGTATGCTAGCTCTAGAGTAGTTCAAATATACTGAACAAAAATATAAATGCAACATGCAACAATTTCAAAGATTTTACTGAGTTACTGTTCATATCAAGAAATCAACCAATTGAAATAAATGAATTAGGCCCTAATCTATGGATTTCACATTACTGGGAGAACAGATATGCATCAGTTGGTCACAGAAACCTTTTTTAAAAAGGTAAGGGCGTGGATCAGAAAACCAGTCAGTATCTGGTATGACCACCATTTGCCTCATGCAGCGCGACACATCTCCTTCGCATAGAGTTGATCAGGCTGTTGATTGTGGCCTGTGGAATGTTGTCCCACTCCTCTTCAATGGCTGTGCGAAGTTGCTGGAAATTGGCGGGAACTGGAACACGCTGTCATATGCGTCGATCCAGAGCATCCCAAACATGCTCAATGGGTGACATGTCTGGTGAGTATGCGGACCATTGGAGAACTGGGACATTTTCAGCTTCGAAGAATTGTGTACAGATCCTTGCGACATGGGGCCGTGCTTTATCATGCTGAAACATGAGGTGATGGCGGAGGATGAATGGCACAACAATGGGCCTCAGGATCTCATCACGGTATCTCTGTGCATTCAATTTGCCATAGATAAAATGCAATTGTGTTCATTGCCTGTCCATACAATAACCCCACCGCCACCATGGGGCACTCTGTTCACAACGTTGACATCAACAAACCGCTCGCCCACACGACACCATGCACATGGTCTGCGATTGTGAGGACGGTTGGACATACTGCCAAATTCTCTAAAACAACGTTAGAGAAATGTAAAATTCAATTCTCTGCCAACAGCTCTGGTGGACATTCCTACAGTCAGCATGCCAATTGCACGCTCCCTCAAAACTTAAGACATCTATGGCATTGTGTTGTGTGACAAAACTGCACATTTTAGAGTGCCCTTTTATTGTCCACAGGTGCACCTGTGTAATGATCATGCTGTTCAATCAGCTTCTTGGTATGTCACACCTGTCAGGTGGATAGATAATCTTGGTCCCCGATGAGAGGTTTGAAAACCCCTGCCTTATCCAACTTGATGAAACCAAACAATTACTTTTGAATGTAAAATGTCATATTTTCTCCAAATTATTACAGTGTATACAATAGTCTACCTTGAGGTGGCCCCAAAGATGGAGACATGTTTTCATGGAAACTGAGTGAGGGTGTGGTGTACCTTGTGGTAGGTTCTAGGGGCATTCCGGCGGCCCGCTGGTGTGTGAGGGGCGTGTCTATGGCGTGGTATCCTGGGGTAATGGCTGCAGAGACACTAAGTTTCCAGGCGTTTACATGGCAGTGTCAATGAAAATATTCCACATTATTCTTCTCATTGAGAAGAAGTGTATAATGATTATTATACAAGGTATTGATGCTACTAGATACAACTCAGGCAAGTCCTTGTACAATCATGACTAATTAAATGAGGTAGTGATTATGGTACTTGAGAAAGGCTCCAGTTAGAAGTGCCTGTGTGACTGTATCTATTAATTAATATATTTTTTGAATGATTGAAATGGCACCTTATGGATTCTTTACTATTTTGTTTTTATTACTTTTAATTATGTATATCGTCATCATTTTAAACAAACAAATAGCCACGTTGAATTTTTTTTTTAAATCATTTCACTTTTCAAAATAGTTTTTACTTGCTTGTGATTTAATTAACTGCAGTAGCCTACAGGTATAGTGTAGTCCCAATGGTATCATGGATGGTGGTAGTTTTGTACATATTAAATGTATAAAACCATGAATGAACTACATGAATCATTAATATCACATGTAGCTCAATTGGTAGAGCATGGCGCTTGTAACGCCAGAGTAGTGGGTTCGATCCCCGGGACCACCCATACCTAAAAATGTATGCACGCATGACTGTAAGTCGCTTTGGATAAAAGCGTCTACTAAATGGCATATTATTATTATTATTATTACTAAGTAATGTACTAACTATTATAATACATTACGTAATGCTATAATTTATAATACATTAATAATCCACTCATACATTAATACTGGGTGTTACACAATATGACCACCATGATACCTACCCTTTCTTCTAGTATAGTAGGCTATAAAACAGACATCAGATACAGTAGCCATCTCTCCAATCTCTGGGCTCTCAGCAGACTCCAGTGGGCCCTAGGGGACTAGGTGTGACAGGGCTGGGCCTCTCCTATGAATAGTTGACGGCATAGTGTGTGTGGTTTCATCACCTCTCTCACTCCATAGGGTCTGTAAAACGATACCTGTGTGTAATAGAGACACAATGAGAGCGGAATAGTACTGGAACTCTGTAGGGAGAAATGATATTCTGTGATTTACTCATGACCACACCTCTCTCTGTCTCTCTCTCTCTCCCTCTCTCTCTCATTCTCTCTGTCTAAATCCTCCCTCTCGCTCTCCATCTCAAGGTTTCATAACTGCGTGCATACATTCAAATCAATTCAAATGTTTCGTAAACAACAGGTGTAGACAAACAATGAAATGCTTACTTATAGGTCCTTTTCCAACAATGCAGATTTAAAATAAAGAATTGAAATAAAATAAAAAATAGAAATAGTGATGAGGAATAAATACACAGTGAATAACAATAAAGAGTAAAAGTAACATGGCTACAGTGGGGGAAAAAAGGTATTTAGTCAGCCACCAATTGTGCAAGTTCTCCCACTTAAAAAGATGAGAGAGGCCTGTAATTTTCATCATAGGTACACGTCAACTATGACAGACAAATTGAGGAAAAAAAATCCAGAAAATCACATTGTAGGATTTTTAATGAATTTATTAGCAAATTATGGTGGAAAATAAGTATTTGGTCACCTACAAACAAGCAAGATGTCTGGCTCTCACAGACCTGTAACTTCTTCTTTAACAGGCTCCTCTGTCCTCCACTCGTTACCTGTATTAATGGCACCTGTTTGAACTTGTTATCAGTATAAAAGACAGCTGTCCACAACCTCAAACAGTCACACTCCAAACTCCACTATGGCCAAGACCAAAGAGCTGTCAAAGGACACCAGAAACAAAATTGTAGACCTGCACCAGGCTGGGAAGACTGAATATGCAATAGGTAAGCAGCTTGGTTTTAAGAAATCAACTGTGGGAGCAATTATTAGGAAATGGAAGACATACAAGACCACTGATAATCTCCCTCGATCTGGGGCTCCACGCAAGATCTCACCCCGTGGGGTCAAAATGATCACAAGAACGGTGAACAAAAATCCCAGAACCACACGGGGGGACCTAGTGAATGACCTGCAGTGAGCTGGGACCAAAGTAACAAAGCCTACCATCAGTAACACACTACGCCGCCAGGGACTCAAATCCTGCAGTGCCAGACGTGTCCCCCTGCTTAAGCCAGTACATGTCCAGGCCCGTCTGAAGTTTGCTAGAGTGCATTTGGATGATCCAGAAGAGGATTGGGAGAATGTCATATGGTCAGATGAAACCAAAATATAACTTTTTGGTAAAAACTCAACTCGTCGTGTTTGGAGGACAAAGAATGCTGAGTTGCATCCAAAGAACACCATACCTACTGTGAAGCATGGGGGTGGAAACATCATGCTTTGGGGCTGTTTTTCTGCAAAGGGACCAGGACGACTGATCCGTGTAAAGGAAAGAATGAATGGTGCCATGTATCGTGAGATTTTGAGTGAAAACCTCCTTCCATCAGCAAGGGCATTGAAGATGAAACGTGGCTGGGTCTTTCAGCATGACAATGATCCCAAACACACCGCCCGGGCAACGAAGGAGTAGCTTCGTAAGAAGCATTTCAAGGTCCTGGAGTGGCCTAGCCAGTCTCCAGATCTCAACCCCATAGAAAATCTTTGGAGGGAGTTGAAAGTCCGTGTTGCCCAGCGACAGCCCCAAAACATCACTGCTCTAGAGGAGATCTGCATGGAGGAATGGGCCAAAATACCAGCAACAGTGTGTGAAAACCTTGTGAAGACTTACAGAAAACGTTTGACCTGTGTCATTGCCAACAAAGGGTATATAACAAAGTATTGAGAAACTTTTGTTATTGACCAAATACTTATTTTCCACCATAATTTGCAAATAAATTCATTAAAAATCCTACAATGTGATTTTCTGGATTCTTTTCCCTCATTTTGTCTGTCATGGTTGACGTGTACCTATGATGAAAATTACAGGCCTCTCTCATCTTTTTAAGTGGGAGAACTTGCACAATTGGTGGCTGACTAAATACTTTTTTCCCCCACTGTATGTCATTGTGTGGGACAATGTCAGGTTTCACCATGCAGAGGTGGTTCAAGCATGGTTTCGGGCCCATCCCTGACTCGTGACCCCATACCTGCCCCCATACTCTCCTTTCCTCAACCCTATTGATTAACAAAATTCAGCATGTAAGTGGAAGGTGTCCGATCACCATCCCCATGAGCGCGCCATCCGCCTTCTGGCCATGGATGAGGCATGCGACGACGTCAATGCAGACCAATGTCAAGCTGGGATTCGCCATGCCAAAATGTTTTTCCCGCAGTGCATGAACAATGAGGGCATTCACTGTGATGTGGATGAGAATTTATGGCTAAATGCTCAATACAGGCTTGATGCAAATTACTTGTAATGCGTCATTCATTTAATTTTTTCATTTAATTTCTTACATTTGATTACAGACAGTAAACCTATGTTGCAATTATATGTGAAAAATGTTATGTTTTTTTTGCATGAATGATTGTAGAGGATGTCTTCATTGATCACACCTTTGATTACACATTGGATAGATATTATGGAAGTTATAGATTTTCTGTCCATTTTGTTGGGTAATGTAAGTGTATTGTCTAATGTGAAAACTGTTTAATCTACTGTAATTGACAGTGTTGTAGTTTCAGCACTTCTAAGGGCGATTTAAAACATCTGTCTTGCATTGTTTGCTATTGGATTAACTGGTAGTTAAAACGACTAAATTGAAAAGATATCATTAAGTTGTGTTTTGGTGATTAACCCAATTTTCTCATTACATTTCACAATAAACTTGTATTTTGAATCAATGGTTGTGTGGTGAGAGATGTTTAATATCCAAATGTATGCACAATGACAGGTATTGAATGAAAGACTGGCTGCGTTACAAGTGTGACCAGTTTGGAGTTTTGTACTAAGAGTTGTGAAAATGTTAATAATAATAATAATAATAATAATAATATGCCATTTAGCAGACGCTTTTATCCAAAGCGACTTACAGTCATGCATGCATACATTTTTTTTGTGTATGGGTGGTCCCGGGGATCGAACCCACTACCTTGGCGTTACAAGCGCCGTGCTCAACCAGTATGTTCCACATACTTGTGAAAATAGTACCAAAGAGATAGAAAAATAAAATTATAGACAGTAGCAGCAGTGTATGTGGTGAGTGGGAATGTGTTTTTGAGTGTGTTTGTTGCATCAGTATGCATGTATGCGCGTGCTATGTGTGTGTGGGCTTATGTAGTATGTGTGTGTGTTGGGATGTCAGTGTGAGTGTGTGCAGAGAGTTAGTGCAAAAAAGGGTGTTAGTACAGTGCCTTCAAAAAGTATTCATACCCCTTGTAATTTGTCGTAGCCGTTATCACAAAATATATTTTTGCAGCTCTTTAGGTTTCCTTCCACTAGTTACCACAGCCACAAAGTCATTGGCTATATTGTAAAATATCATGAAAACAAAAATGTGCTTTTTATTCTTCATTTAAGGTTAGGTACAGTGCCTTCAGAAAGTGTTCATACCCCTTGACTTATTCTACCGTTTGTTGTGTTACAGCTTGAATTCAAAATGGATATATTTTTTTTTCACCCATCTACACACAATACCCCATAATGACAAAGTGAAAACATGTTTTTAGAAATGTTGGAAAATGTATTGAAAATGAAATACAGAAATATCTCATTCACACCACTGAGTGTTAGAATCAGTTTGTCAGAGATTACAGCTGTGAGTCTTTCTGGGTAAAAGTCTCTAAGAGCTTTGCACACCTGGATTGTAATATTTGCACATTATTCTTTGATGAATTCTTCAAGTTCTGTCAAGTTGGTTGTTGATCATTGCTGGACAGCCATTTTCAAGTCTTGCCATAGTCTTGCCTTATTGCAAACAGTATGCATGTTTTGGAATATTTTTATTCTGTACAGGCTTCCTTCATTTCACTCAGTGATTTAGGTTAGTATTGTGGAGTAACGACAATGTTGTTGATCCATTCTAATTTTATCCTATCACAGTCATTAAACTCTGTAACTGTTTTAAAGTCACCTCAAGGTGAAATCCCTGAGCGGTTTCCTTCCTCTCCGGCAACTGAGTTAGGAAGGATTCCTGTATCTTTGTAGTGACTGGGTGTATCGTTGATACACCATCCAAAGTGTAATTAATAAAATAAATTAAAGATACTTTTGTACCTGTTTCCTCCAGCATCTTCACAAGGTCCTTTGCTGTTGTTCTGGGATTGATTTGCACTTTTCGCACCAAAGTCTCTAGGAGACAGAACGCGTTTCCTTCCTGAGCGGTATGACGGCTGCGTGGTCCCATGGTGTTTATACTTGCGTCCAATTGACTCAAATGATGTCAATTAGCCTATCAGAAGCTTCTAAAGCCATGACATCATTTTCTGGAATTTTCCAAGCTGTTTAAAGGCACAGTCAACTTAGTGTATGTAAACTTCTGACCCACTGGAATTGTGATACAGTGAATTATAAGTGAAATAATCTGTCTGTAAACAATTGTTGGAACAATTACTTGTGTCATGCACAAAGTAGATGTCCTACCCGACTTGCCAAAACTATAGTTTTTTAACAAGAAATGTGTGGAGTGGTTGAAAAACGAGTTTTAATGACTCCAACCAAAGTGTATGTAAACTTCCGACTTCAACTGTACATGGCTGTGCCCCTTGGATCAAAGACCGACCGCCTGTCTGTCTGATCATTTGAAAACACTGCCATGCTCTGGTGAGGTTTCATGCTTGTGTACTAGGTGGGTGTATCCATAACAACACTGCTGTAACACAGGCATTACACAGCATGCCAGCAAAAAAAAAAGCCTGGTCTCATAGACTAGACGTAACATAGTAAATGTAAATACAAGACCTAACTGGGTATGATATGTTACGTTTGGTATGGATACATAAGACAGAAGGTTACTTACGTCAAAAACAAAAGTAGGGTAGTTGGTCGGTGTGGATGGGTGGGCGTATAACGCAAACGTATAGCAACCCAAAGGTTGCGTGTTTGAACTTCACACGGACAACTTTAGCATTTTAGCTAATTAGCAACTTTGCAACTACTTGCTACTTTTTAGCTACTTTTCTACTGCTTAGTATTTTAGCTAACCCTTCCCTTAACCCTTTAACCTAACTCCTAACCTTAAGCCCTAACCCTAACAGTACCGTTAGCCACCTAACCACCTAGCTAACGTTAATCACAAAAAATTGGAATTCGTAACATATACCTTTTGCAAATTCATAACATATCATACGAATTGTAAATTGTAAAATATAAAATATATTAAATGGATGATGGACATCCACAAATTAATACATACCATACGATTGGAGTGTCCCAGATTTACATTTACTATGACACGTCTACTCCTGAGTCCAGGTTGATAGACCATCAGACAATATTGGGCAAAATACAGTGACTAGACCTATACATCAGCTCAACATTAGATTTAAAATCAGCCAAATATCTCTGTAAAAATCTCTGGAGAAAAAGCCTATATTGGACTTAAATGTCCTATTTAAATTTCCAAGATGTGAATCATCCTGCCTTTGTTCTTTAATATGTTGATGAACATGCAATAAAAATGTATGAATCAATATTGAATACAAATATCTCAATATTTAGTCTTCCAGTCGACCATATAGCCTATAATAAAATACTATTCTAGTGTCATTTGGATTCCAGCTAGATCCCAGCTGGCGGATGAAACATCAGTCCGTCAGTCAGTCGGTGGAATCGTCTCTGTTCTGTATCTGCTGTGGGCTGCAGAAGACTGTGGCTGCAGCGTCATCCAGCTCTGCACGCTCAGCTCTGCCTCTCTCTGCCTCTCTGCCTCTCTCTCTCTCTCTCTCTCTCTCTCTCTCTCTCTCTCTCTCTCTCTCTCTCTCTCTCTCTCTCTCTCTCTCTCTCGTCGCCCTGGGATCCGTGTTTTGCATCTCTCCCCAATTTGCATTTCTTCTTCACATTTTCCGTGCGACGGTCTAGCAGCTCGAAACCATAGAATAAGGCGTACAACCGCAGCAATATCTACATGCTCCTGGCGTTTCCAAAGCAATACGCACAGCAGAACCCATTGGAAAATTTGAATAATGTTGCCGAAGCTTTCCGAAGGGGGAAATTGAGGAATTTCTTTGGATCAATCCGTTAGTTGCGCACTAGAGGAGACACATGCCTTCGAGGTAAACAGACAGCAGGACTGGACAGCCAGATAGTAGCCTAGGTTATATTGTTGTTGTCCTGCGTTATAAGCGGTTACAAGCTTTTATAACGCCACGGTAGTGGTCCTAAAGTCGAGCAGATCTTCATTATTTTTCGATTGTGCGCCTTGGTTGGTTATTGAGACGCAGTTGGAAATGTCTGAAGTACTACAAGACGAAATGAGTAATTATGGAAATGAGGACGATGAGGGACACCTTTCCTTCACCTGTCGCCTACAAGACACCAACAACTTCTTCAGCGGCTCGCAGGGGGGCAAACGCCCGCCCAAACTTGGACAGATAGGCAGAAGCAAACGAGGTAACTATGACGATCAAAGTATTTTCAGTTGTGTTATGGGGATGTGTTATGGGGATGTCTCCATTGTCCATTTACTCAACATTGGATGGGAAATAATGGTAGGCTATCGGCAATTCAATGGGAAGTTTATTCTGATGAATATGGTATGGGATCAATGGTTTTTAAGAAGACGTTTGGATGCGCAGTGCGTGCGTGCTGCTGTCAAATGCCTCTAGGTCCATGTGTAAAACTCAGTTCCACAATGTACTTCACATCAACGGAGTTGACCGGCGACTAGTGTGGCCGGACTGGAGCTCAGACATCACATAAAATTAAGTTTTTATAAAAAACGATGGATTTCAGCACTCAAAGAATAGCACACATCGTGGATTAGAGTTTTACTTGGCTAAGTGTTGCCATGCTGTTTCACTGAATATTCCAACCCACATGCATGGTGCGATTCTATAGGATTGTAGAATATATTCTGTGTGTCTTATTCTTGTGTGTGTGTGTGTGGGTGGGTGGGTGTTTGTTTGTGTGTGCATGCATGTGTGTGTTGTGCATGACCAATTAAATAAACTTGAAATGTGTTATATACAACTCATCTAAAACATTTGCAAATGAACACACACAGCATCTCTCTCTCTCTCTCTCTCTCTCTCTCTCTCTCCTCTCTCTCTCTCCTCTCTCTCTCTCTCTCTCTCTCTCTCTCTCTCTCCTTCCGTGCAGTGCTGTAGCCCAGTGCATGAGTTCCATGCATTCATATCAATTAAAGATTAGATTCTTAGATGTGATAACGTGTCAACCCCCCTCCTCATCATCGTCTCTCTCATGTTCTTCACAGTCGTCGAGGATGAGAGTGGCGTTGACGAGGCGCAGAAAAACGGGACAGAGAAAACACAGACGGAGGCTTAAACACACCACCCCCGGCCGCCCAAAAGACATTGATTCTAATTTTCTATTCGAAATTAACAGTTTTAATCCAAAGACACTGTATATAAGCACTTTTATCCCATGTGGCAGCAAGCACTTCCAGACCCTCTCCCCGTCCTCACGATGGTGATCTCCTGGGACTTATACTGGCAGGATGGGGAAGCAGCCAAGACAGAGATGAAGACAGAGACAGACACAGAGATAGAGACAGAGACGGTAATGGATACAGAGGCCCAGGTGAATGGTGTCATGCCAGGGTTTACGCCCATAGAGCTTGTCTAAAACAAGGATGACCAACCTTCCACCTAGAGAGCTACTGGGTGAGCAGCAGGGTTTTGCTAAAGCCCTACACATTTTACACTAGTCAATTATTGGTCGTAGAAAACTCCTAAGCAGGCGACCAACAAGTGTAGCAGTCTAAAAACTGTATTTTCACGGTCCTGGGTAGCAGCTAATTCATAGCATTAGGTGTGTTAGAGTAGGGATGGATCAAAACCCTGCCGGAGGGGATAGCTCTCAAGGAGGAGGGTCTAAACCATGTGACCAGGAGAGGATGTGGATCAAGGAGGAAGAGGAGTTGAGGAAGAGGAGAAGGAGGAAGAGGAGAAGGAGGAAGAGGAGAGGAGGAAGATAAGGTTCCAGCGGTAGAAGGAGACAATGCTGTCGAACAGGCGCAGAAATCAGGGAACAAACTATAGACATGATCTAATAAACTAAAGCACACACACACTCTTATATCAATCAAACCATATGATATTACATTACCATTCTTTCTGCTCTTGATTCTTCTAAAGACAAGTGCAAACAAATAAATCATATAAATAACTTGTAAATAACAAATGGTACAGATGTAGGATCTTAATTTGATCACCCTGTGGCAGTAAAACTTGTAGTGTATTTGAGGTTTAAAAGGGCATCTGAAGTTAGTAATTTCCACTTTGAAATTTCACACTTGATTTTCCCTAATGAAAAATCTGTCAACCCCTACAAGTCTCCATTCATTATAATCCACATAAGAATTAACATTTCCTGTTGCTGCAGGATTATTTTCCTGCTGTAGCAAACTGGCTCAAATTAAGATCCTACATCTGTAGCCCCACGTTCTGTTAGCCTGTGTGCCAGTCGATTTCTGCTCTCTTGTCAACTCCTTGTGGAATTCTCATGTTTGGCGTGACAATGAGTCGTGATGTGGACCTGGCAAGACAGCACGAACAGATCTGAGACCAGGCTAACGTTTTGTTGCACAGCTGAGAATAGAAGCAGTGAAATGGTTTGTTGTAATCTAACGTAATGTGTCTGTATAAAGAGACCTTATTTATTGACCCTTTGGATAAGTCTTTTGCAGTGCTCAAGGCCTGACTGAGGGAGAGTTTTGTATGTAGAGAATTACGATGGCAGAATTAATTAAAGTGATTTTTCCTTTTTTTTACTTCTTATAAATGTTGATATCGCCTGATCAGTTTTTGTTACCATCCTTTGCAGCTATAGAGTAATTTATACACATTATACAGTACTGTACATCACTTGTCTGTAAGGGGCCAAGAGGCCTAAAGTTTGGATTGTTAAATATAACTGTACACACTCCCTATTGATAAACTATTTCTATTGCATTGCGCATTGTCCTGTGTGCCAAATATCATGAGGGATAACCAGACAACTTTGTTGTTTATGTTGTGCTTTCTATACGTTTAATTGTAACAATTTTGTTATTCTTCTGTTGTTGCTGTTGTTCAGGGCTCTTTCTTACCACTGAATTACCAACTGATGCATGGCAGAAATTGAATCATGCATGGCAACGTTCTGAAGATGATCTATTGTATTCTAGAACACCTCAAATACTGCTTTGAATGACTATCCTCCAGAACAGTCTTAACATTACGTATGCTGTACTGTACTGTACTGTACTATGATCTCACTGATTTGTACAGTAGCCTAATATCTTGTAATAAAGATTCTGAAGAAGTTAATTAAGAAGTTTACAGTGTTTATTGTGATGGATGTTGGATAATTCTATGTTGCTGCCCAAATGGTGCTGTGTCAGAGGCGTCATGCCCATAGGGGGCACAAAGGTACGTGCCCCCTCAGATGTTTTTTTCTTCTTTCAGATGTTAAATGAATGACTAAACTTAATTTTTAAGCCCACGTTTTATCATAATTATTTATAAAAAGTCTGCGGTATTTTGTGGAGGGGGCACACAGACTTTGATTGATAGCCTGAAATTGTCACGACTTCCACGAAGGCTGCCTCCCCTCCTTGTTTGGGCAGGCTTCGGCGTTCGTCGTCACCGGCTTACTAACCACTGCCGCTCCCATTATCATCACTCCACTTGTCTTGTCTTGTTAATCACACACACCTGGTTCTCATCCCCTCATTAGTCTGTGTATAAGTGTTCCCTCTGCTCCCTTGTCTGTGTGGGTGATTGTTCCATGTGAGAGTAGAGTAGCTCGGTTGAGCTACTCTCTTATTGTATTGCCGGGGTAGAGTTATTTTCCCCAATGCTTGTATATCGTTTGGAGTATTTCCGTACCGTGATTGCCAGGGTAGAGAGTTTCCCCTGTGCCCATCCAGCACAACTGTGACGGAAAGGAATAAACTCTATATTCGGTGATTTACCCTCTTGCGCCTGACTCCTTCTATCACACTCATCACAGAAATGTATTATATTCTCCCTAGTAAGTGGTTCCTTCCAAGGTGCACCACAGAGAAAAGGTATGCTAGGCAGGACACTAGATACAGGTGCATGCAGACAGTATCGTCAGTGGAGGAGGAGAGAGATTGTAGTAGAGTGACATACAGCGTTTGATTTGAGCTGCCGATGATGGGCATGTTTGCAAATTAATTTCATCAAGCTATGTAGCCTATTGATTCCTTCTTGATGAATAAAATCATAAAAAAAATTTCATTGTTTCTCCGTAATACTATCCACCTAGCAACCTCATAACTAGCTACAAAGCCATTTCAGGCTATCAAACAAGTTAGAGTAGCTTGTCTAACTAGACTTTAGAAAAGCAAGCAATTACTGAGGGAGGTGGTCAAGCGGGGAGAGAAAGTCTGTAGGCAGGCAGGAAGCGTGGTCTCATCAAGATGTCTCGCTGTCAAAATGAAGCACCCACTTGGATGATGCTATGTCAGTAACATGGCGCCATAAAGCACACCACATTTCAATAATAATTAAAGAGCAGCCTTATAACTTGATTCTCCCTATGATCCTCATCATTGCACACCTCTGCCGGCTTGCTTTCGGCTTCTCACCCTCCTCAACCTCCGGACACTGGTTGGCATTCGAATCAAAACAGCTAGCCAGCTAACGTTAGCTAGCTAGCCAAACAAACAAAATGACTTGCCAGCTTCAATCTTTAACGCTGTGGTGGATTCTAATGATATGAATTAGCTATATTAATTGTTCATTCTTAAAAGAAAAAAAATATTGTAGGTAAAAAATTACATAGAAATTAATTCATTACAAACATATTTACAAATGTATGATGTGTGTTATGATCCCATGTAGTGTGTTGTAATTTGGATGTAATATCCTAGGCATGTTAGTGCAGTAGCCTATATTGAAATGTGGTATTTACAACAGTCAGAATGACACCCTCATTCAAATGAAAATTGAACAGGTAAAAAGGCATGCTTAGATAACCTATGCAGAACAATTTACTTTTTTGTTCTCTTATTATTATTTTTTTACATAGAATTAGGCATAATGATTATGGCACTAGATTGCAAGAAAAAGCTGTTTCAGATGTTTGCTAAATGCTAAATTCTCCAACTTCCTCCATCCTCACGTACTTCGTGCTACCTCTAAAATAATGGATGCATGACGCCCCTGTGTTGCTTTATTGGTAAGTTTAGGCCTGTGTATTTGCTGACAAAACACCAGAAATAGAATGTATTCAAGTCAAACTTTTGGAGGCCAGTTTCACAGATACAGATAACGCCTAGCCCTGGGCTAAAATGGCTTTTCAGAATGTTGTTTAATCCAGGACTAGTCTTAATATCTGTCCTGGAAACTGGCCCTAGAGGAATGGAAACACTACAAAATAAGTTCTGCTTATGTGGACTCCCATTTGACAGTCAAGGTCGAGTCAGCACTCATTTTTTTTCCCTGTGAGAAAGCAGATTCCTGTTTCTGGGAAAACTCAAATAAGGAATGAAACTGGAATTACAGGAACTGGGTGACCAAGAAAATAATGCTCACTAATGGAAATAATGGAGTCAGTCACAGTTTTACTTCAAAACTGTTTTCAATAAGCTTAACTTAAAGAATCAAGACACTAGATGAATGAAGAGACTAGTGTCTCTTGACTCCTCAAGTTAAGCTTTGTTATGTTATGTCTTAATTTTCTCAGCCCAGTCATCGGATTGGTCATTGATAGTATCAGTGTCTCTCCCTTCCTTCACGAACAACCCCTGCTGCTGTGGTATCCAAATCTCAGTTTCTCTTTACTCAAGACTTCCTCCTCCTCTTAACTCAGGTTGGTGTAATGTAAACAGTGTGACTGCTGGGGCACTGAGGTATGGTGCATCGTCATGAGACGTGACATTTCCAGCGCTGCTCTGGTGACTAAATGATTCATGTTCTGTGACCAGGCAGGCTCCATCTCTGTCAGTGAATCAACAGTCCGAGCTGATCTGAACTGAGATACAGTAGCAAGGAATAAACACGGAACACACACACACACACACAGTGTAAACACACTCTGCAGGCTGCCCTGACACACCACCAGGGTTTTCCCACCCACCACCACAGCCCCGGCGCCAGGCCAGTGAAGGAGCGGTTTTGGGTACAGCCTGAGGGAGAGTGAAAACCACAGGGTGAAAAACCACACTGTCCTTCTTCGTCATCGGGTTAGTATGTAAATGGACGTGGTGTGATGCAGTGTGATCCTGTGTGTATGTGGCATGCAAATGACCCAGGAAATATGACCCAGCAAATTTCCCAGGATAGATTTGCATCTGTTTCTGGTGTTGATATTTG